GTCTTCTTAATTGACCCTTTCATTTCTAATAGTTACACCCTGTGGTGGACAATGAAAATATTAACGAGAAAGAAGAAGTGATTTTGGATAGGTGGTAGTAATATCCACCATGATTTTCACTTATACAGTTACAGCTAAAAATATTAGTTGTAAGAATTTTTCATAAAATTTTATTAAATTTATTTGTGCTATATAACCTCTGAAGCTTTATATGTTACAGAATTTGTATATGTTTTTTCCAAATCAAATATAATTCTGTTAAATACATAGGTTTTTCATTTTCTTCAAATTTGTTCAAAATTAATTTTACAATCTAAAATTCTTCAATTCTTAAAAAAAGACTACAATATTGTGAAGATCTGTAGTTCCTGGATTGTCCACTAAAAAATGTCTAACTCAGATTTTATGTACAATTATTCTAAATAAAATTTTGTTAGTCCTTCAAATATTATAACAAATATTGTAGTTACAAGTTAGTAAGAACATGTAAAAGATGTGATAAGAGTATGAAGTCCTCTTATGAATAGTTAACCTCAACAACCTATGTCCACATATGCATGACTTCATCATCTTTGTATATTTAAAAATTGTTTTCAATATTACCTGTCCCATTAAACAATTAATAATACAAAATATGAAATAAAATACAAATACAAGTATAATTAAACAATAAATATAATTTTGTCTTTTGACAAGACAACCTCTTTTCGAGGTTAAGTTGTTTTGCAATAATTACGTTATACTTCAATCTCAATATTTTATTAAAACAAAATAAAAAATTTGAATGTAAAAAAGTTTGAATAAAATATTAAACCAAAATTGTTGATGACATTATGAGTCACATATGAACTATCTCATAATTCTACCAACATCAAAAATGAATAGTCTTCAATCGCTAATTTTTAATTGCAGGTCGAAAGTGAGTGATACACATTATTACCACCTTTTCCATAAAAATCTATTGAATGCCCATAGACGCTTATGGTGAATGAATTTTCTAGAACGTCCATGAACACCAACAGCAGAAAGGGTCAATTTTACCTGTTTCATCTACTGTTCCCTTAGATGAATTGCTGTATAATTGATTGAAATTTATTGTATTTGCAAATTCATTTGTACGATTCGTGTTTCCTCTAGCTGATATATTAGATAGTAGTATATCTGTATATATTTCTATTCGTAATGAAGGTAACTCGACTAACTCGAGTTTAAATGTACATCTTATCATCGAATAATCTTATTCACAATAAAATACTTTCAACGTCAACAATGTTTCTACATCACTTTCTTTCTGTTAGATCAACGACTAAGTCCTGGATGTTCACCTGGTTTTTTACGAAAGTTCAGCAGATAATTTTCCATTATCGATTATATTTAATCAATGATCTTTTGTAATGTTTCAATGTGTTTAAAATATTCGACCAATTTTACAGCAAAATTCGTGAAAAAGTCGAGGACTCAGTCGTAGATCTAAATCGTCTAACAATCATCTTTCGATTTTTGCACCTGTGGACGACCGATCGATTTTGAAACTGTATACTTATGTCTACTTCTCGAATATATACATCACGATTCGCCTGCGAAACAATGCAATGAATTTAGACACCTTCTCCTTTTGTGTACAGGATGATTCGAAAGTGGAGGGAGTGACAGGATAGATTCGTTAAGATTTATTTTTTCTGAACATGGTCAAGATTTGGTCTGAACAAAACTTGCTGAGTGGCTCAAACGCGTGTCAAATATTAAAACAAAGTCACAAGTGAAGGAATTTCATCAAATATTTTGTATAAAAATGTATAATCTTTCATTTTTATCTTGCATATAAACCCTCCATTCTTACCTTGCATATAAATCATTTATTTTTATCTTGAAAATGAAAAACAATCATTCGTTTTTATCTCGTGCATAATGAATGCAATCCTCCACATTTATCTTGCATATAAATCCTCCATTTTTATTTTGCATATAAACCCTCCATTTTTACCTTGTATATAAATCCTTTATTTTTATCTTGAATATGAAAAACACAATACTTAATTTTTACCTTCCATATGATTTACGTATATTTTTATTTTATATATAATTATGCAAATTTGTTAGATTTATTCAAAATAGGTTATGGACTGATTGTAACTAGATGATAATGATGATTAAATATTACCATTTAATATTACTTATTTAGCTTCAATAATCTTAAAATTGGAAATAAGCTTGAGTGCCACTGAAATTTCTGATTTTGCATAATAATCTGATTTTGCAAAATTTTGCATAATAATTGAATAGTAATTGGAAATAAATGTTCCTTTGTTAATAGATGTCCAATAAGCATTGTATTATATAAAAATTGCTTTGAAAAAATTTATTTTTAGAACTGTTCAGAAAGAATTCTCTTCAGATCTATCCTGTAAAACATGATCCTCTTATTTTTGAGCATCCTGTACATCTCTGACGATTGATGATTCACCGAACATCGTCCAGAATAACGTTTGTATATAGTAACGAAATATATATATTACATGTTTGTACGTGTATGTGTGTTCGTGTAAATGCCCATGTGCGAATACATTATATATTAATATGAAGTACAAACATCTAGGACAATGTATAATAACGCGATGTGTTCCTAATTCTCGAACGAACGTTCGAAACTTTCATATAATATACTTTCATTGATTACGTACGGTAGAACTCAATATATCCGAACCATTATCGAATTATACGAATATGTAATTCGAGGACCGCGTATTTTATGCAGAAATTGTAGGAAATTTCACGATTAGTATCTTCGGAAATTTTGATTAGCATATTGACGTATTTCTTCTTTGTAGATTTCTAAATCGCGGCAGTTGAATTGCGTAACCTCTTCAAAAACAACGTTGTAAAACTTTGACTGAAGGTTGTTTTCAATGGAAAATATAACACATTTAAATATCGTTATACAACACGTAAGTGGAATTAGTAATTTATGTATTAAGACATGAATACTATGTTAAATTACAAATTTATGTTTGTTGTTGAATGAACATTTTTTTTTGAGACTTAAGGAATTTTACAGCAGGAAAATTATTGTATAGAATTTAATTGTGAATTATAAATTAGAGACTTTCATTATATGATACGAATTAGAGAATTTTTCTATAAGAGAATGTAATTTATAAATTAAAAAACTTTACAATAATTCATAAATTAAAAATGTCACTGTAGGTGAAATTGTACTGAAATATTTACTGCGAAGTTAAGAAAAATTAACATAGATAAATTTGACCAAAATTGAAAAATTAAGAAATTTTATTACACATAAAGTAAATTTAAATAAATTGAATAAATTTGCTATGTATAATTGTGCAATAATTTAAAAATTATGGACATCAAGAAATTTGACTGTTACGAAATTGCATTATACTTTATAAATTAATTTTACAATGACATAATTTGATGATAATTTAGAAACAAAAGAATGTTATTATAAGATAAATTATGCTATTGATTTGTTAAATAGATTATGAAGTAAATTTGTATTATAATTTATAAGTTAAATTCTGTTGTAAAATAATTTCACTATAATTCAGTAATTGCTGAATTTCATCATAATGAAAATATTTAAATAAATTTATAACAAAGCTTTAAATTCGTAACGTTAAAATTTCGTTAATATTAAAAATCCACCCTTGTAAACTATCCATAAACAAAATATAAAATAAAAGAAGTTGTGTTTGAAGAGGTTATGTTCGCGAAAGATGTAATCATCGCGCCAATGAAAATTGTCTCGAATTAATCAGGTCCCAACAAATAGAGCCCTACGGTACATTAGATCTTATCGTACTAATACTTTCATCATGTTATCACTTTCTTACGAATACTTTCATACGTTTCAGAATTCCATTAGGATCCGTGTATTTTGTTTGCGAATACATTTAAACTCGAAAGGCTTAGACCTCGTCTATGATACGACTTGTACCTGAATAAACGTACATTTAAATGCACTCCTTGATCAACGCTTCACGGAACAGCGTTGCCGAATGATGTATTTAATTACCAAAACCCCAGCAGTCCTATCACGAAAATATTGACGTTTCGATAATTTAATTCGTTCTGGTTATCATTATGCTCGAGGACCGGGTTGTACTTGTTCAAAATTCTTCGTCTTTCATTCCCGAAAACCGTTCGATCTTCGGTAATTAATTCTTCTCTCTGTTTTCATCATTTATTGCTATGTTTCTACGATTTTCCATCAGCGTCGAAAGAAAGAAGAACACGGTAATACCTAAAAGTATCAGCGATCGTGCTGACTCGATTTCCTTTCGCCAAAACCTTCTCGTTTATTGTCTTCGATTAATAATTATTGTCTGCGAAGGTTTCACCGTACGTTATTGTCTGCTCTCTTACAAATCACATATCTTTCTATAATAAAAATTTCTAGCTGGACAATTCCGGTACTTTTTAAGATTAGTTTCGGCCGCTCTCTTCCATCTGGAAGATTTATTCGATGAACGGGCCAATTTCAGATTCATCGAACATTTCGTTTAGCTTCCTCCAACGTGAAAGCGTGTATGATTAATGTAGAAAGTATCCTTCTTTAAACATATTTTTTTAAATTTCTATTTTCCCTCGATCGTAAATTGTCGACTTACAGCACTATACCCTGCACTCTTAGGTATTGCAATAAAGAAAATATCCCTTGCAACCCGATGCAAAATACGAAGCCTGCAATTTCATTTGAAGAACCATCCTTCCAATATGTTTCTGATACCTTGAGTAATTGCGCTACGACTGAAAACGCGATGATCGCTCAAATATTAAAAATATCAAAAATTGATATCTATACAAATCTTCCTGAGTATCTAATCCCCCCACTGAGACAAACCGAACCGGGAAACGAAATTCTATGGTTTAGAATTGGTTGAAAATATCGGCTAAGCGGGACGAAATCCGAGTAATTAGAAGCAGTTTTAAAATGAACGATTAAACGATCAGTCACCTTGAACAGAAGATTTCCTTACGCTCGTTGAATTCGTGTTTCTTGAATTTAATTCCATTGCTGATGCTGCTGTGTTACGTCGTACGAGTAGTCGTTCGTCGCTGGCGGCTGCACCATGGACGCGTTTATGTCGTTTGCGAAGGGGTTCGTCGAATGGAAAGGGTTGTTGGTGTTGGTTTCTGTCGATCCGTAGCTTATTACGGGCGCTTTTTCTTGTTGGACGTATGTGTTGTCTGCTGGAGGCTGCTCGTAATTGTTCCAGTCGTCCACTTCACCTCCACCCATAGATGGCTGTTTCTGAAGACAAATTTTATGCGACAATTAGTAAAATTATTTGATTGTTGATATTAACTGAGACACGACGTGGCAAAATGACTTTTGGGGATACTATCTCTCTGTATGATCATTATAGTGGCTTTCACGAATGTTGAAGATTATATAACGTCACTATAGTGGCTCACTTTACTGACTCACTCGCTCACCGTTCCAATTGAATGATTGTTTCCATATGTTTCCATTCGCAGTTTCTTGCTTTCACCAAGCTTTATAAGAGTATTAACATATCCCACAAGGGTACATTATATGTAAATAAAAGGTACCGAGTAGTTTAGGCACTATGGAAACACCTCTTTGTACTAATATACGATGAAAATTAAATCTAAAAATTTCTATATTCCACTATTTCTAAATTTCAAAGCTTCTATATTCCATCATTCTTAAATCTCAAAATCTGTAGGTCCCTCAACTATTATATCTTTACACCCCTAGATTCAGATCTTTCACCATCTCTAAATATATCTAATATTCTAATACCCTAATAACCTTAGATCTCATCATCCTTAGATTAAAATAATCCCCAAATACCAAAATCCTCAGATCTTCCAACCACTTACAACCTTAAATTTCACCACTTTCAAATATCACCATCTTTACATTCCACTATCTTCACATTTAAAAATAAGTTCATACCTAAATCTGTAAAGCTTGATATAATAAAATATTTTGATTTTCGTGTAAAACACAGTATAAAATACGTACAATAAATTCAGATTGCATAGTACTTGGCGGCGGCGGAACCGGTGGCTTCGTTTGCCCAAATTCGTCCATTGGATTCCAACTCTTCTGCTCCTCTAAAACAGGATCAGCCCATGGTTGTAATTCTCCGGAACAAAATATTCCATAAAACGTCACGCCAAAGATGTGTACACAGGCGGCTATAATAAAGACGTTCCTCCAACTTTGAGCGTCCTATAAAAGCAATCAATAAAATATTTATTTTAATTGGTGCAAAAACAATGTAACACAAATTTGAAGTACTATGTAATACAAATTTTCATTGATGTGAAATAATAAAATACAAACTTTACTTGTCATAAAACAATGAAATATAAATTTTATTTGCCATGAAACAATAAAATGTAAATTTTACTTGTCATAAAACAATGAAATATAAATTTTACTTGCCATGAGACAATGAAATAAAAATTTCACTTGCCATGAAACAATAAAATGTAAATTTTACTTGCCATGAAATAGTAAAATATAAATTTTAATTACCATAAAATAATAAAGTACGAATTTTAACTTGATTTATAAATCAGTAAAATATACACTTTTATTGCAATCAATCAATAAAGTATAAACTGTAATCGCTATATTACTTTATCCAAACACCAACAAAAAAAGAACAATATAAATTTCTCTTTCGACTAATTAATTTCTATTAAACGCACCTTTTGCTCCGTGATATTGTCCACGAAGAATGGTACCAGAAGTCCCGCTATAGTACCGACACCGTTCGACATTCCCATCAAAATACTGGCGTATCTGGGTGCGATGTCCAGATGATTAACGTTGAAACCGGAAATGGCGAAGCCACTGCAAGCAACACCAAACGCAAGGGCGACGATCGCAGCTGTACCATTTCTGTGTGTGGTCGCATTTGCAACCACCAAAAAGAAGAGCGCCTCCATGCCGAAACCACCGCAGTTGAACAATTTTCTAACGTTCGTTGTTGATAAAATTTCGCGTTTCCGTATGTGATCAGCCAGTAATCCTCCACAAGGTACGATCATCGTCATTAGCAAATGTGGAAGTGAGCCGATTACACCAGTCTGAAATAATAATAACGGTACATCATGATCTGTTTTCATTAAGTATGTGGCGACAAGAAAAGTTCCGAGTGGAAAGCGAGGTCTGGATTTTGTCAGAGACCTTTTGCCCCGTCGAGCCAATAGAGTTATTAAGTTGTAAATAGTTTTGCGCTGGCTCGATGGGTCTAAGAGGCCCTCGGCCCTTTCCACTTGAGACTTCCCAAAAAAGGAGAGTTTTCTCGCCCATGAGAAAATGTATTTTTGTAGGGACATTCTAGTCTCCAAAATAAACGCATCGCACCTTTGTTATTAATAAAGTCCTTCGCCACTACATTGTGTTGTTCATTCACGTAAGTACATCACCTCAAGTAGATAACATATAGGAAAATTCAAAGTTTTTGCTGTATTTTTAATTTAATTTGTACAAATGTTAGAAGACTCGGCGGTAAAAAATACCAGAACTTGATGTTGACAGATCCCCAACAATTAAATGTTTTATTATAATATTTACTGTAACTCTTCTAGGTAGGTCGTTGTGACCATTACTTATACGAAATACATATATTTCAAATTTGATAACAGTCTTATGTAGCTACTTATATTCTACAAAATTGTAAATTGTAACTCTAATTTTAGATTTATAATTACACTGTGAATTTTATTTAGTTTTATTTATACTGCAAAATAAAAGTATTTAAACATCTTGTCAAATCCAAATTGTCAAATTTGTACTCTTAATAAATAAATATTGTACTTTGAACAAATGAACAATATTGAACAAATAATCACTACAGCTTAACCCTTTAACCTATAATTCTAAACAGCTGTGTCAGTCACAAGTCTAACCTGATGTTAAGACGGGTTAATTTACAGAACTCACCTCAACCAGAGGCATACCAAAGGCCTCATGCATGAAACGAGCCTGGAAGAGCACCAGCAGATAAAAGTTCCAGGATCTGCAGAAGTTGGCCACGATTATGGCGTGAACCGGCATGGACGTCAAAAACTTACGCCACGGCGTTGTTGCAAATGTCGGAATTGGTATTTGAGCTTGACCCTGGCCAAGAGAGTCTTCGATGTAGCGAAGCTCGCGTGCCGAAATGCAAGGATGCTTCGACGGTTTCTCGAAGGCCAACCACAGCCAAAAACAGTACCAAATCAATCCAGACATACCTGAAAATTTCAAACATTTTCTTATTTTTATTTAAAAATTACAAACTAACAAGATTTTATATAAACAAAAATTAAGAGAGATTTTGTATAGAGTGCTATGTATAGTGCAAGTTCTATCGTAAGAAAATGTGTAATTTATAGATTATTTTAATTTTAAGATTGTAAGTATTGTAAAATATTATATATTAACAAAATATCATTATATATTAACTTCTAATTACATATTAAAATGTTAGATATCATTATATGTATATTAACCCATTTTCTCGCAGTGCACTCAAATGAGTATTCATTATACTAATTGACTTTCATAAAACATGAAATGTACATATGTGTCCCAGTGTTCTCATATGTGTAGAGTACTAAAGTTTGTATTATGAAGAGATGTATTATTATTTTTATTATAACAAAAGGTTTTATTTGCTGAATAAAGTTGTATTGAATATCTGTACAAGCATCATTGCCCCGTTTTCCAAAAAAAGTACTCGAGGGAACAAATGGGTTAATGATTACGATCGTTGATACATATTAAACTGTTGCAGACGGAATGGATTATTTACAGGATTTTCAGTACGTGTTTATAGAAATCAAAATTTAATTAAAGCATCCATTGAATCGAGATCAATGGGTCTCAATCTTTTGAAATCTTGGAAGTAGTATACTTCTAAAGTTTTATAATATAGCAAAGTAAAAGTGTTAATATAAAATGATTTACAATTAAAAAATATAAGTGTATAATTTATGATCTGAATATCTAACATCTGGACTGAGAACGAAGTAAAGAACTGTCACAGAATGATGAAAGTGAAACATTTATGATAGTAGTCTTACCGTAGAAATAAAAGGACGCTGTCCAACCAAATATCGAGGTTAAACAACCTGATAGTGGCATTCCTATAACCATGGCAGCGTAAGAACCACAAAATGCTAACGTGGCCAAACGTGATCTCTCCAAGGGTGGCGCCCAATACTTCCAAATACCGTGACAGGCTGGATACGTTACACCCTGAAGAAAAGACACGCTCATGATAATAGAATTTAGCATTAAACCGATGTATAATGGACGCTTAACTTAAGATTAAAAATACAGATAAATCAACAAATATTAAAATAAGTAATATACACATCAATTTTTCTAGCTGGATACAAATCATCAGAGATTTCAGAAAAAGCTTTCTGACAAATTTTGTTAAAAATAGGAAACTTGTGAACTGCTGATTTTGACCGGATTAGTAGTTTTAGTGTTAAGTGTTGTTACGAAAAATTGTAGCCCTTTTCCACTCATGATGCTATTAGCAAACATACCACTTGTCGTTTGTATAATATCATATTTAAATAATCTTTTACTTTTTCTTATATTTTTGTCGCATTTGTATGGTTCATAATCGATTAATTTCTTCAGAAATTGTATTACATTTGTACAATTCTCAAATAGTAGAAAATAATGTCATAATACAACTTCTTTAGAAATTATTACCACAAAAATAATTTTATTTCTGTTTCCTTCGAAATTGTACAGTTAGAAAAATTTGAAATCTCTCTACTGTGTCTGCTATATTTTATCTATTTTTGAGTCTTGCACTTTATACACATTACATAATTTCATAACTTAATTTTCAATTAACTAAGTATCTCACCTCCACCAGTCCTTTCAAGACCTGTACAACCATATCGACGATGGGGTCGACCTTCAAAGCCCCAGGCACCAATAAGTTCAAGAAGGAAGATATGGCGATGGCAGCTCCAAATATTTTGTTCGCAGGGTACAGAGAAGCGAGAAATCCTCCTGGCACCTGGGTTACTAGATAACCCCAGAAAAAGGACGAGTCTAGAGCACTTTCTGTGCCTACTGTCCAGTTGAACATCAGAGTGTGATTTTCACCCTCGGTGGCGTTCTTCATAGCCATTTTCGCCATTCCCATGTTACACCTCATTCCGAATGAAATTATGAATCCTGTACAAATATTCAATTTCGTTAAAATTCTGTAAATGATGTTAATCATAAGGGTGGTTACAATCTGTACACCTATATCGCCATGTCAACTTCTGACATAATATGTAACACTTTGAAATAACGTGTTTCTGTTGATTGTATAATGATTAATTATATTATTATGTGTAGTATTATCAACTATGTAATTATATTATCATGTAGAGTACTATGTACATACAATATTAACATTGAACCTACCGGCATATAATGTATACTTACTTAGAAATTAAAAATGAAGTTGAAGAATAAATACATAAACAAACGACGAAACATAAAATAGTATACATATTTGTTCTTTATCTTGATGAAAATCAATGTTGATTTCAAGGAATGTACTTTAACAAAATGTGTACCTTATAATAAGAAACTTGTGGAGTTTCGCCTACCAAAGATATCTAATTGTAAGTCTATGGCTAGATTCTTTCCGCTGTTGTCTAGGATTATTCTAACTAAAGAATGCACCTAGATATTTATTTATTTAAGATCTTTATCTATTTCTTTATCGAGATTATCTAAGAACTAAATATTTTTTCGAACATGTTTCGTAATTTTACCTCACTGTGAAAGGGTTAAATCTGTGATGTATATTATTGTACATATCAATACAAATATGTTAAATAAAAGAGAAAAATTTATTTACCTATACAGGCCAACGTAGCAATGGTGTATCTTTTCGACAGGCAGGGACATTCTGGTTTACAATACGTATCAATGTGACGCAATGGTGGTCTTTCCGGTTCCGGAAGCGACTCAAAAGAGGCTTGTTTGCTGTATCCTCTCTCATCTTCGAATCCCCTATTGTCTTTGCTACCCTCACGGGGCATTTCAAATTCCTCGTAGCCGGCATTGCTTCTCCTGAATCTGGAAATATTTGTAACATGTATCGCAACTAATATTTTACTTCATGGAAGGAAATTAATTCTTCATATAAAAGTTATCACAAAGGGACAAGTATATTTATGAATGTGAAGGGACAAATATATTCGTGAATACAAAGAGACGAATATATTCATGAAGACGAATCATTTTTTACATTTTAATAATATATATTGAAACCAAATTGTGAACAAAGTTACATATATTCTTTTCAGACCACTTGATACGTGTCGAAATACATTCAATAATTTGCAGTATATTTATTTTTTATTGACTAGTTTTTGCAGTGTTAAATCGATAATAGAAAATACAGTTGTCTCCTGTTATATTGACTAAATTTAATAGCAAGTCATTCGGATAACAGAATAATATATTATAAGATTTTTAAACAAATTTCGAAGGAAACGAAGTTACTCCAAAAACAACGAATATTACAATTCTTTAAATTATTCGTTACTTTTAGAATAACTACCATTTATTCGAAATTTGTATTTGAAAATCATTTCTGTTTTAGTAAAAATTATTTCCAAATATCTTTCATTGGTTTTAAAAATTGATTAACGCTTCTTAGTTAACAGGTTAAGATCGATAGGGTTCTCTAAAATAGGACATTCTACGAATGCGACAACGGAATAATTACATGTACGAACAGATACAAGTAAACGCTGGCTAAATATAGCCTTAAACGATTTTTCAGCTGTTGCAGAAGGTAAAGAGCATGCGTGATGTTACCCAGCAAATTTTTGCGATGCTTTGGACTTGATGGAGTCGAAGGCCACGAGGCTCGCCGCCGCGAATCCGGACATTTTCCAATTATTGGGGTTGCTTACAGGCTTAAAATGGCCGCGCTGCTAATTGACAGCCCCTAAAATAAGAATAAACAATTATGTTAACGAGAAACATATCTTTACTATCAGTAATATTTTTTTGATTTATGTGTAAACGCTTTCGATAAGTCATACATTACCAAACTCTCATTTTGTAGTATTTTATTAAAACTATAATGTAGAATAATGCAGTTCATTATTTATTGGAAGTGTAGTGTAATACTTCATCTGTTATAAATGGTTAAATATGGACTAATACTTTAGATCATTTTTATTAAGGTAAAAATATTTAAACTTTAAGGAAACACGTATTACAGGTTGCACTAAATGTTTATTTCGATTTATGAAATTTCATGAAAATATTTGTATTAATTAATTCTGGAAAAGCAAGAATAGTTTTAGATCAGTAATAATTAAAGGAAGATCTATTTATAAATCAAGAAAACAATTACTATGTTTCTAAATAACAATTAATACAATAAGATTAAAGTTGCATAGATTTGCAATCGAATATCTCCTTATAAACAATAAAATTTGTTGACAAACTCAATACAAACGCCTTCAATAACTTCTTTTTACTGAAAGAATCATAAACTTGCATTAATGTAAAGAAGCAGCATCAAATAGAATTAAAATTTCATAACTTTTATATTATTAATGTAAAATGAAAATTGCAGTTAGAATTAATTATAATCTTTATTATTAAATTTTACATTCTGGAGTTTCACCTCCTGATATAATTTTATAAATATTAAAAATCATCGATAACTATGGCGGAGTAAAAACAAACTTAATATGCAGAAATGGATATAATTCACACTACAAATTTTGCTAAGATGTTGAAACTGCTAAATTATCTAAAATAAATCAGAACCTTTAAAATATAATAGTTTGCTGATTGATAAATTAATTTAATAAAAAGGTACATCAGAAACATGTAATTATGTAGAGTGATATTGTTACGTTACTAAGATCAAATTTAGCTAAAATATTGTGTGAAATTCTAGTAAAAATGATCTACTAAAATGCTAAATATGGTCCCATTAAAAAGATGCAAAATGCAAAAATACATAAATAGAACAACCCTGTATTATCACGTCAGGAAGATTAAAGTTTGGTTAAGAATATTAAAATTTGCATCATGGAAGATGCATACTGCATACTGCACTAAGTACACTGAACAGAATACTAATATCCACCTAAAAATTTATGCACCTAACTTTAATCCAAATAAGAGTATAAGTTTTGTAATATCTGGGTCACAATTCAAAGCTTCATATTCAAGAGTTAGCCTGCAAAAACTACACATAAATTATTTCCTTAACTTAAATTTGCCAAGAAAAATTACTTAATGTGCCAAGACTCCGATTTCCAATAACCTGTGATTTTTAAACTATTTCAGCGAACAAATGCTCGAATATTTCAGTCGTGTATTTCCTCTAGCAAACATGGCCATATCTTCACAAAAACGTCCCTTCCCGATTATGGGGCACATGGGGAAGAGTAGGGATGTTTATTTGGAGTGGTAGTCTCTTCAGCCCTAATCCTCGAACTCCCCAGGGAACTTCAAGGGGTAGAAAAATGCGAGATGAAGCGCACAGCCTTCGCCAGGGTCATATTTTTCACTTAAGCTTCTCGTAGAAACATTAGGGTTGTAATAAAATACGAGAAAACGCAAAAACTTGCAACTTAAACTTCTACGACGATGAAAATCGATTTCGGAGCTACGTTCCAAATATCGCGTATTTCTTTATGGAGCTTTGCAAACTCGAATATCTAACAATTGAAGTGTCGTATATGTTTTATCTAGGTTGCGATTGATCGGAGGATTCGCCATGCTGTTCAAAGTTCGATAAAGCACTTTCGAATTTAACCTCATATGAAGTTTTTTCATCTACTCGACCCCATTAACATTGTATCAATTTAGATCCACCCTTTAGAAACTGATTTAATATGAAACTGCGCTTAATATGGAATACTGTGAAGTCTCAAATAGTGAAATCTGTTTTATGATATAAATAATCTATGGATGGGTGAAATATTTTATTGTGAATAGAAAATAGTTGTATTAACGTTTGAAGTTTAGTTAAAAGTGTGAAATGGGGAATATAATTTAATAGTGTTTCAATGATTTCGAAAGGCAAATTAAATAGTTAAATATAAATATATATGTGCAAATTAACATATGTTGGCAATCGTAAGTTATAAAATATCACTTTTCATGATTTATCGTTAAACCAGTTTGTATTTTTGCGTTTAGGACTAATTGTTAAATTTATTTTTTTTTTAAGATTATTTTTCTTTGGAAATATGTATGTTCGCAAATATGGAATACATTGAGTGTACATAACATGTTCCATATTCGACATACCCTTGGTAATACTATCATACAGAGCATTATCAGACATTTTTATCGATCTACATGTAGTGACAATAATGAAGAAAAATGGAATCAATGTATTCGCATATGAGTAATGTATTCAATGCAAAGGTCAACGAAAAATGATATATAAAATAAATTTAAACAAACTGTAAGACATTTATTTATCTATCTTTCTTATTTAAACAAATATTTATTTTTCAAAGTGAAATTCAATTTTTGCAGTCTTTTATACACTTATATCTTACGTATTAAACTTTTCTAATTTATCATTTTGTCCTACACTATTTATTACAATTATATGATATAATTAGAAAACAATTGGTAACGTTAGTGCTTACTAATTTTGTTTTAATGTTAGTTTCGTTAAAAGCAGAACATATCTACATTTTTTGTGAAATTTTGAAATTAAGTGTTACTTACTGGGTTTAGTTACTCCATGTACATCATACAATTTGTAAAACTACGTGAGGTGGTAGAAATTTAGAAATGAATGAATCATTTGTTCGTAAAAAAATAAATACAGTGTTTATTTTGTATGGTAATTTTAGTTCTGAGAATTTACATGGTATATTTACTTGACTATGATTTTCAACCCTTAGACTTTAGACTACGAAGCAAGATAGAACGACTTTGTCAAACCTAACCTCAATTAGAGTTGTCTCTATAAAAATAAACTCTTTGCTTGAAAGTCTAGAGAAATTATGTAACAATTATCAAAACGTTCACAGTCTTGGTATTGGTAACAATTGGTATTTCAAATATAGGTTCCATCGATTTTAATGAAATTTAAATTGCTATGATATAATATCATATCATATGTTACAATAAACGTAACTTCATATAAATTCTACAGGACAACATAGTTACAAGACGTACGTTTAAATAACATATTTCATTGAAATATAATTTACATGAACATAACAAATATCAAAATTTAATAGGAAAAGCTAGTAAAGTAATTTTGTTTTACAATATAAATTTCTTGAAGGTTTCTTAAAATAAAAGGAGGATCTCCAGTTTCAATTTCTGCATCCATCATTATTTTAGAATGACACAGCTAACGAGTTTACAGTTTTCTTATAACACCCAAGATAATATAGCTTCTTGTTAATAAAGTTGTGTAATAATTAAGTAACATAATACCTTGCCAATTATGGGCACCTAATTTTAATCATTGATTTTTTTCTCAGTAAAATACCAAATAAAGAAAATTTTATAAATACAATTTTAACACCGTTAGATTAATTAGAACGGTGTTAACAGAACAGATTTTCGTCATACAAAGACTACAGAAGCATTTTACCGTATTTGAATTTGTAATATTTTAACTTGGCCAAAACAGTTTTATCTTTGACATAGTAGCATTTCCATGGCTCGTATCCAAAATGGTAGAACGCGTTTACATGAAGATTCGTGTCAAGGTGGCAATATAACGAAATACTGTACAAATGTTATTTGTTCCTCTATTTTGAAATATATTCGAAATGTACAATTTATCTGAAAACACCTAGAATACCAAAGATCCAATCGGATGACCAAAATATTCAGGAAATGTAGCACAGTACACCGGAAATAAAAGAATGTACAGATCGCTGTATTTCAAATATTCCTACAAGAATGTAGGCCACCATTGGCAGCTAGAACAATCACAATATTAAAAAATATTTTGTTGGATTATTAAAACTGGGAAACAGATTTCTGGTTAATTTAAATCAGAGCTATAGTAAATTGCAAAGGTACACCTTTATTGAAATAGGTTTATTTTAAAAAAGTAGATATATTGCATAATTTTTGTTATGTATTACTTGTTAAAACACCGAATATATGTTGTAATAATATTTCAACTTTTAATTATAACAATTACTACTGTAATTCAAGTGGACACTCTAAAAATTATTCTACCATATTTTTATTATGTGAACATTCCCTTATAAAAAAGAAAAATACAAATAAACTTCTGAAATAACCTGTGATACATTTTTAAACTATTTCAGCGAACAAATACTCATCTAATATAAAATTTTTAAAAAATGTTGCGTGCATAACACAGTAAAGTATGGAACACGTACGAGAATCTAGTTATATTGCCAATTTCACACAGACTATTACACAAAGTAATGGCTCCCTTATCATTATAGCATAAGAGGATCCACGGAATTTATCGTAACGAGAGAACTTTCAGAACAACGCAATATATTGCCAACTTCAAATATGTCCTACTTCGTCCCCATTTATAGCAATATAAGAGCACTGTATTGGAATAAGTCATCTTTATAGAACTTTCATAACTCTTTCTGGCATGTAAATAATTAATTGAAGTATGTCATCGATATCTTTCTCTCAAATATTTCAGTTAATACTGCCATTCGATTCGACGAGGCAGAGATCGATAGTGGAAGTTTTCTATTGAAGGGGTAGAAGAGACTGACGGATCCTCGAGGCAAAAAATTATTGGCACACCAACAAAGCCCGATCACAAAGAGACGTATCGAGGGACAATGGCTGTCGGATATTAAAATGGCACGTGACAAACAAAAGACAGACAAAATGCACAGCACGTGTGCTAACCAGTTAGGGTGCAAAGATGGTAACAGTTGATTTCGATTAATGGACATCCTTATGGGGGATGTGGCTCGTGCTCTTGATGGGCAGCATTTATATGGGTCGCTGAATGGTACACATTTAGATATTGATTTTCCTCACTTTTTTCGATTAGAATATTTGCTATTAAAATAAATTATATGTGTTTTAAGGCAAAAGATATTGATTTATAATATGGGACGAGCTGTATTATGTATCAATTTCCATAATTTTGAGAGATATTTTTTCAGTACTGGTTCAAATATTTAATAGTAAAATAAATATTATTTATTAGTGAAATAAACATTAAGAAATATTGTTATATTATTGTGTTGCAATATAGGACAAATTAAACTATTAATTTTTGTATAATATTTCGTTTTTAGGTTATATTTTTACGATACTGGTTTTAATATTTTCTAATAACGTAAGTGGTATATTTTATAAATTAAATGATATTGATTTGTAATATAGGACAAATTAAACTATTTATTTGTATCATTTTCATCAGCTATATATTTCATTAATTACGAAATACCGATTTGCAATGTAGGACGAATAGAACTATTGATTTTTGTCATTTTTATAGGTTAGGCTTTCGGTACTGGTTAAATTATTTGCTAGTAAAATTAAATATTGTTTCTGAACAATATACTGATCAAACTTATCAATATTCTATCGCTTAATAATTCATAAATCATATTTCTTTGCATTCTCAAAGGCATAGTAAAATGAAAATATGTATAATACAACAGTAAGTTCTAAATAGTAAATTTACATGCAATTAGACTTTCAAATAAACTAATTTATTGCACATTATAATAGTTTCCAATTAATAATGTTATTTTTATTAAATCTAGGGTATTAATTTTATTTTTAGTTCTTATTTAGCACATTTTCAAAATGAAAAAATGTAGAATATTCCATGTGAATATGCAAAATGTAAATTTACTTGTAATCCTCAACAATTTTAGAGATTAAAAATTTGTACGATTACTTAGAATAGTAAGTATTCGATATTCAATTTTAACATACCAACATAATTTAATATACTATTAAATTATTTTATTTTGTCAAATAAACAAAAAGAAATTTTTGATTAAAATATATCTTATCTTAAAAACAATTTTGTTTTAAGTTTTGAAAATATTTCAAACTTGTAATATTATATCACTTTTCTTCAAATAAATTTTTTAATTGAAAGTATTTTCCTAATGAATTTTTGAATTTAACTAGAAATATTCTTACTTGTTCAGACACATTTTTTTTCTACATCGAAAAAATTATGCAACGAAAAATTCATGTTGAAGATATTTAAAGATATTTAAATCCTATATTACCTTGAAATACTTTTAGAAATATTTTGCAACATTAAATATAATATTTAGACTTGACAAAATGGGTTATGGGTCAAAATTACCCTGTATTTATCCTTCAAAAATTAGAATATGTGATAAATCCATGCAAATATTAATATTCCACCCAAATGTGAATTAAAAATTTTAAAGGAATAAATAACTAATTCAAAAACGATCGTATCAAGTTCTTCCAAGAAAGAAAACATAAAAACGATCATATCAAGTGCATTGATAGAAGGAAACATAAAAAAAACATCATACAAAGTTCCTTTAAAGAAAGTAACATAAAAATATGTCATTAAGTGCTTTTAAAACAAGAAATAATAAAGTCATCAATTACTTTAAAAAAAGAAATAATAAAAATTGTCATATTCACGAGTAAAAAAGAATGACACTGAATGGAATGAACCCAGAAGCCCGTGCATTTCCCGATCAATACGATAAAGTCGCTGACATTTTCCTGATCTCTGACATTTCCATGATCCAACCTTGAAAAAAGTATCCCTCAATGTCGATTGAAAGTTACGAATCACCAGCAAAATGAACCCCTCCGTTCACTGTGCATACACACTCGCACCCACACACATGCACACACGAATGAATTTCACGATCAATCGTCACTGGGAATCGCACTTCATCCTCCAAGAAAGGCTCCCCCCGGTCACGAAATCCTGCAATCACCCTTCAACGTTCGTCAGAACCTTTTCGAGCCTAAACTTTCCGACACTTCGAAACAATTCACAGCGAAGAAAAATCACAACGGTGTCCATCTTTGCACGGGTACACAGAAATGTTGCACGAATCGGACCAGCCCTTGGTTCAAAGGAACCAGCACTTGTAATCGGGAGTCCACAAAAAGCTGTACCGTTCAAGGAGATGTAGGGTGAAGATGGGATGAAAGAATCACACGACTCACCAATAATTAAGTCCAGATATGATTACGAGCGGAGTGGTACGCGACGGAGAACGTCGTCGACGTCGCCTGACGTCGTCCTCGTTGACGACATCCACGGCAGCAGCGGGGTACCGCAAAGTCAGCTCCTGGTCAAGGAGTCAGCGCAATCGGGCGTCGCGACGCCATTGGCTCCTTCCTGGCGACGCATCGATATCATTGTCCAATCACACTCGGTTGCAACCCCCTTTAGATCGACCCTAGGCGGAGCTTTCCACCCCCGGATCAGAGTTTTGCAACAACAAAACGTTACGCAGGAACAGGAAGCGTAACGGTATTAACGTTAATGTCCGCGTACCAGCGTACTGCTAGGGACAAACGACGATTCCTGACCTATGTAAGGGTCGTAATTTGTGGCTCGATGCGTACTACGTTGTCGGTTGTGGATGGATCGATAGAAACAATCGGAATTCAAGAATTAGGTTGTTTCGAAGCAATAGGTGAGCAATAGGACAGATTTGGTTCTTAATTTGGGGTGCTTTTTATTGAGGATTTGGTTCTTAATTTGGGGTTCTTTTTATTGAAGATTTGGTTCTTATTGGAGATGGAGGAAGGGTAGGTGAATTTGAGGATCGTTCGAAAGTTTTGTTGAAAGTATTGCATGGTTGATGTTTAGAAGGGTGACACTGATGTTTCAACAGCGGTAGTTGAGGAGGTTTAGTTGGTAAGTGGAGCTGGGTTTTAATTTGAATTTTTCTTTCGTTGAAGAGTTATGTTGTATTTGAGGATCGTTTAAAAGGTTTATTGAAGGTATAAAAAGATATAAAAGATATAAAGTGAAGATATAAAAAGTGAAATTACAGCGATGTTTTAACAGCAATGGTTGAGGAGGTTCAGCTGGTGATAATGTGGAGCTAGGTTTTTAATTTGAAATATTCTACTGTTGAGGGTAAAAGAACGTTATGCATTTTGTATTTAAAGATCGTTTGAAAGGTTTATTGAAGATATTAAATGGTTAATATTATTTCAAAAAATGGAAGAAGAATTACTATAATTTCAAAGAATTACAGCAATATTGTTTCAGTCGAGGATGTTTGGAGGATGAGGCTAGGTTTTTAATTTGAGATCTTTTACTGAGGGTGAGAATATCATGTAAATTACATTTGAGGATCGTTTGAAAAGTTTGTTATGAATATATTGCATGGTTAACACTGTTCAAAACCTATGATAAGAGATGAAATGTTATTTCAACAGCAATGGTTGAGATTTGGTTGGTGAAGACTTAGAGCTTCATTCTTAATATGGGATTCTTTATTGAGGATGAAAGAACATGATTCAAGTTGAATTCGTGGATTGTTATAAATTTTATTCTACAAACGTTCATACATATAAAAATATTAGCCCCACACGATTAGTGTACAAAATACATAATATTATTTATTAGTTAACACTAGTCTAGTAAAAGTATTACAAAATGTAAACGCAGTTATACAGCTTCATTTGATTCAATAATGTGTCTACACTTACAAGAATTATTTAACATTTAATAATTTATTAACGAAATATATTAAGGACTAACGTTTATCAATTAAGTATTATGACAAAGTATTCAACAATTTGTTAAATATGAATTTTTCATGCTGCATAGAAAATTTTTGTAATAAATTTAAGACTGCCATTATAGGCTGATTGAAGAAAATGGCTGACTATTATAATAGACTACTACTACTGACTATTATAAAATGGCTGACTATTATGATAAACTACTACTGATTATTATAATAATGCTTTATATTTATTAATATATACAAATGTTTATTTACACAATAATGTATAGATTCCATCATTCACAGATACTATTTTCAAACTAATAAAAAAAGACCTAATAAATTGAAATTGCTCTCATTGCAAATCAACATACGCTTCATGCAAATAAAGTTATAAGTTGTAACTTCTCAAAGTTATAGTTATATATTGGAATTTCTATGTGCAATTATATGTTATAATTTCAATAAGTAGTTACAAATTAGAACTTCGATAAGTAGTTATAGATTATAATTTTCGATGAGTATTTATAGGTTAGAATGTCAATAATTAATTTCAGGTAAAATTTTCGTTAAGTAGTCATAAGCAAGAGTTTCAAAAAATACTTACAGGTTGAAATTTACAGATTTACTTTGATAAATAGTTACAGGTTAGAATTTCAATTAACAGTTACAAGTTAATATTTCAATAATTAATTATATATTACAATTTCAACAAATAGTTACATGCTACAATTATAATAAGCAGTCACAATTTTGATTTCTTGAACCTTCATTATCTATAACAAAGATTCAATTACTTTTCTCATGAAATTAAATTGATAAACGATCAAAAACAAGAATGATAAAATCAAGTACGTATCTAGGCAGCTCAAATCTTTCGCTAGTTGTTAGAAGCCGACTTGCATTGTTACAAACACAGAGTAACTGGGGTGGGCACCCTCTCCGGTGGTTGCCAAGAAATATCGATCTGGCCAAAGGGATGGATGCTGCTGCTCTCAATGGTTGGTCTACAATACTTTATCTCCTCTTCGGGGCCGGCACGCCTTAAATAACTCGGATTTCACTATCATTTCATCATGATAACGTGCCAGCTGAAGACGTCGTTTCCCGAATGCTGCTAATATTTCATTGCACCCTTATCACTTGGGTTAAAAACATTTTCCTGTTATAAAGATAACTTAAAGTATTTTAAAAATATTGGGTTACTACGTATCAGATGACAAATGAAACTTACAATGATGTGATCTAACGACAAAGGTACTTTAAAGTCGCAAGAGAATTTTGTGAGATGATTTAATGACGCAAAAATGCTTTGTGAAATGATTTAATGATGCAAAAATGCTTTGTGAAATGACTTAATGACACGAAAATAATTTACGAGGTAATTTCATGGCAAAAGTACTATGTGAGATTATTTAATCACAAATAAATATTTTATAATAGAATTTAATCCTTCTAAGAATTGATCTAACAATTTAATCCTTCTATGCGTAACATTTTTTTAAAAATACTGCATAAAGTACTATACTATGAAACTTTTCTATTTTTAACATAAATAAATTATACATCTTATAATTAATGATATTATTGAAAATATGTCTTGTTCTTGTATATTTACAATTTCTTGTACTTTTTTATAATAATAGAAATGGTTTTAATATTTTTGATTCATCAAAAAATATTTGTTTAATTTTACTTTCTTGTTAGCATTATTATTTTAGTTTTCGTTACTATTATTTCATTTTCAAATTAAAAAATTTATGCAACAAAAAAGAATCAACAAAAATAAATTACTTTAGTGAATAGTAAAATATATTAACAATCTTTCACATCATTTCTTCGTTTATTACTATTCATACTATTAGTACTACGCAAGAGTTCAAAAATGTATTTTATTTTTAAATTAAAAGTATCCTACAACAAAAGGATGTCAATAAAAAGCAAACTTCAACAAGCACTAAAATATATTAACAACATCACATTATCGTTACAAACCATCTAGTATAGTACACATCTAAAACTAAATAGTCAACAAAATTTTTGAAAAATCACATTTTAAACTGAACAAAACGTTAGACAGAATCGTAACCAATTCCTCCCCAATCACGGAAAGTAATCGTGCTGTTAACAATTTAACACGTTGTCCCATCTAGTGCAATCGAGTCATCAGTCTGTCATTCATCGCGGATCAATATCCTTTGCTACATGCAGCTCGAGCTACCCTCGTAAACGTCATCGGTTTGAGGCAGCCTCTTCATCAACAGATCCTTCACGCTCCTGCAAAGTGCCACGTACTGCAACAATTTCAGCCTGAAATCAGCATCCAAATCGGTGATTCGTCTCTCATAATTATTGAGAAGGTTCATAAACTCCTTGTCTTCGCAATCTTTAGCTCTACAACATTTGAACGAACGTTTATCAAAAGGTTTCGATCTTTCACCGCGCAAGGCATCTCCTCCCTCTCTTCCTTTATCCACCGAAACTTCAACACCGCGATAATTCCTGAAAGCAGATTTCGGTGCAATTTCCTCTTTACAGATTCCTTTTGTCAATTTTCCCGCTTTTAAATCGCAGCTCCTTTTGTGGGCTTTATGTTTCACTTTATCGTCAAATTGGTCAACATCGAGGATCACTTTGGTAGAAGTGAAAGACTCCACGCTGGATCGTGTTCTTCGTTTTTCGTCACCATCGATTGTTTGGTTATTGATCTTCGAGCCACCCTTCTGTCCTAGAAACCTTGAAATTTCACCCAGTCTGATCTTCCGGAACACCTCGTTGTCCTGGATCCTTCTACCTCTGACTTCCTTCTCCTTCAAGCACCCTTCCGTGAAGGTCTTCTGAGGACCTCGACTCTCCATTTGATTTCTGGTCGTGAACGGACAACGAATGGAAGAACAAATTCGTTCCTCGTTCAATTTCCCGCTCGAAATGCTGACCAGATATCTGTCGGTCCGCAGATACGTCTTCGACGTACTGGTGCCCTTGTCCCTCTCCTCCAGCAGCAGCCTTCGAAGTTTCTTGCGAATGAGGTATTTAATTCGATCCAGCGCGGGAAACGAGCTGCAAATGCTTCCTGGAACGATCGATCCTCTCCAGAAACTGTTCTTGCGTCGAAACAGATGTCGGGATCCGGTATCCTTTTCTTTATGCAGCGCTTTGCTCGAGCACGAACAAATAGGTTTATCGCTTGATCCAAATTTAACGTTTGTCTTACGGTTTCTTTTCTTCGAGTCCTTTCCTGGGAAGCTTTCTGTTTCCATGCAGCTGTTCGAACGAGAAAATTGTTTCCTACATGTGCTATTTGAATTATTCGATTTACAGGAATGGGCATTTTCTTCACAATCAATTATATTTTTGTTTTGATACTGTTCTCTGGATGCACTCATCACGAACGTTCTAATTGTCGGGTTATGAACGGTCTTGCATACCGATTGCGAAGGAGGCAGACATTTTGTCGAAGGTTTTGTAAGGTTCTTCAAATCCCTTGTGGTCTGATTTTCGCTGTCAGAGATAGGCTGGAATTTTGTAACACTTTTCATTTCCTCGGACAGGTCATCGCCACAACGAGAACACTTATCACTTTTGGAAGAACTGATGGAGCTGCACGTTTCTTTCATCGAAGAACTGTAGTCCGTTTCCAAAATGTTCCTTTCAAACTCTGCAACCAGTGTCTTCCGAAGAGAGCTCCTTACCCTGATATTTGTCTGTAATTTTGAAGCTTGAGTTTTCGATTCAGAAACACTTTCTTCGATGTGGATCTCCACATTATCCTTCTCAGTAACATTTTGCCCACATTTTTTTGTTAAATAAGATTCATCCTTTGTATTATTTTCCGAATTGTTTACGTACAGTACGTGACAGTAGCACTGTTCAGAGTCTGAGACTGTATGGTTTTGTTTCACTTCGTCCTTCAAACTTGAAGAATAACTGCAAACAGTGTGATGCAGTTCTCTTTGATCATCCATAACCGATGAGTTAGCACAAGTGTAATTTTTCTCGGCTGGATAGGTGAGCGCAGTTTTTATTTCTTCGTCATTAATTGCTGTACTAGTTTCATCTTTGCGAATTTCTACAATGTCTTCTTCTGCACTGACTTTATTTTCGTTAATTTTTGCGTTATCTTCATCGCATATCTTTACTATTGATCGTTCACTATTTTCATTCGCAGAAGTGGAATTTTCATCGAAGTCCGTCTGCGATTTGGTGAAACGAGCAGAAAGGACGAAGTCAACTTCTCTTCGCTCTCTTCTCGACCACACGAAATTCAGCTCTTTCCGTTCCTTTGCATCTTCCGCATGGGTCGTTTTTGTCTCCCCCAAAGAGTGATTAGAGCACTGGGAGTAAAAAGCGACCTGTCGTTCCTGAAATTCCTCCTTGTTCGAGTCGTCAGGTACACAAAGATTTGAACCTCGAGATTCGCATCGATTCCCCACGTTCCTGCAAGAGGATTCGCGTTTATGAACGTTTAAACAGATCGGCACTCGTGCCAAGAACAATCGAGTCTTGGATGAATCGCGTTGAAGGGTCAAATCGATCCGCCCGGGTCGAATCTGGCAATTCAGACACAGTCGTCGAATCGCACAGCTGTCCATCTTCTTAAGAATGTCGTTCATGCAAGAACACGCGCTGCGAATTTCGTGCTCGAATTTTCGCCTGATTAGGATCAGACAGGAATCTGACAAAGATGGATCTGCCTCGAATAATCGCACGATCAGGTGACTCGGTTTGCAGGGAACGGAGAGACGGGTTATTACTGGATTCCAAAGTGTGGAGCCATTTGTGCTCGCTGTTTTGTAAATTACGAGCTTTAATTTAGGACTTTTTGGACAACGATTTTTACCACACTTTTTAGTGCAGTTAGATGGTTTTAGATTTTTTTCTGTAGATGAAAGAGTGAATTCTTCAACAGCTTCTTTTGTTGAAGGAGTGTTTTCATTGAAACAGAAGAGCATCTCTTGGTTGTGTTGAACTTTTGGATCTGTTGTGTTATCGATTTTTTGGTTGCAACTAGGATTGGTAGAATGTCTTTTGTTGCTTGCAAACTCTTTTGTGCTTGAACCTACTTCCACATCCAAATCGCTGTTACAGTTTTCTTTTTTACATTTTTGTTTGCTCCTTGGTGATTCGCAAGTTGCATTTGTTTTTCTGTGAAAGAACATGTTCATTAAAATATTTAATATTTTTAACTTTGATTTTATTATGCACTTTAATTTAAATATGATCTATCTGATCATGTAAAATGATCAAATATATATATATTTATAATCAATAAAATGTATTTAATTTTCTGAGTACATAATACGTCAAACAATATTATTATAATATTACTATAACAAAAAGTGAAATAATTTAAAAATTCTCATCTTCAAGTTACAAACTTTTTCAAAGAAGATTTCTTCAAATTTATTTTTCATCAAGATTAATTTACATTTTATCACTGAACACATAACATGTGCATAACACATAATAATTTAACTTAATTATAAATTTCAAAGTGAACGTATCGACGTATATGTCGAATAATCGACAGCAAAATGTAAATGAGAAGAAATTAATAAACTCACGACAACCAATAATCCTTCTCCTTGATGAAGCTCCATACGTTCATGTTCTTCATAGCATTCTGTTCGGTCAAGGAATCAGGATCCACCCTACTTATCCCAGTATTCAGAGCAACCGGATCTTCGAAATGTGTCACTCGGCCATCTTTTAACAGACATTCGATCGCGTGCTTAATCGCTTCCTCGTCGATGTCCTTGGCGCGAAACAGATCTAAATAGTTCAACCAAGCAGCAATGGCGTCCAAGCATCTCTTCACGCGTGGGAATCGTCTGGAGTATCTGGAACTCGATTTGCAAACGAATTCCTCCAAGACAGAGTGGATTCTATTCTCCAGACGGGAACCCAAAAGTGGTTTGATCCTATCGGCGAGCAAACGAAATCTTTCACAGTCGAATTCGTCATTGTTTCCTGTGTGGGGATCCTGGAATTTGTCGGAGGATTCATTAGGAGAATCATTGCACAGCAGTATCATAGCAGTAATTACTTTTAGTGGACTTTAAAATATGAGTAAATATGATATGAAGCCATAAGATGGCGCGTGAAGAAGCTGTCGTGTTTAGAAGAGCTACAGCAGCTAATTGGTCAGAATAGAAAAATGGACGCTTATCATACATATTTTTGACAGTACTATTAGCTTGAATGATCACACACATCAATTAGGTTAAAAACAATGACAGTTGGTAAATGTCTTGAAAGTGAATGAATTTAGTACAAATTACATTTTGCAGTTATTGTCAATATTATTCTTATTCCTTGAAAAGTAGCGCTGTAAGTGAAGATGGAGAGAGATATAGTTTCTTTTACTTATAGGGTCGACCTCACGCGCCAAGTCATCGATTGACATCTGTACCTTACTCAGGAACGAGTAGAATAAGTCGAGGGTTTAGGGTCAGACAACGTTAACCCTAAAAACAGGTTGGAGTCAATGCTTCGTCTAGTTAGTGTTCTTTGACACTTAATAAATTTCACAAAATGACGACGATGTCCCCACAAACTTTTAAACTGTTCATTTTTTTCATATTTTTGTAACCGACACGATTTTTGTGATCGTCTGTTATTAACGCAAAGGATGAATTTTTGGGATTGCGTTGTCTGACCTTAAAACCTGAATGTACAGCACAGTATGTTTATTTTGAAAGCGAACAAAATCCATATTTTATTGTTATGAGATTTTCAAGGATTTGCATTTGGTTAAATTTAAAAATATTGGTGAGCACTAAAAGACACATTTTGTGTACTTTTTTGATGTTATGTTTATTATCCAGTAACGTAAAGTGCTGGCTAAAAAAGGTTTTATTATGACCAAATGGTTTTGCTCTACTTTTAAAATGAACGGTATAAAAATACAATTATAAGCACGCGCATTCAGATAATATAATGTATAATGCATAATGTAATATAATGCAAAAATATAAAGTATAATGTAATAAATGTATTGCACGTGCAATGAGTGATCTTATATTAAACTTATACTGAAAAGAGTTCTTTTTATTGAATTTTACAAATTTATGATTTTTGAATTTTATTAATGTTAAAATAAATACCTGTTATTTTATCATTTTAACGTACTACTAAATTGTGAAGTAAACATTTTTAATTTAACGAAAGCTTTTAATTTATTGAAATTGTAGTTGAAATTTATTGAATTGTGTTACAGTTTTAAATTTATAGAAATTATTTAAATTACAAGTACCTAAGTTTAGAAATTTACAAGTTCCTAATTTTACAAACTTTCATATTTGAAAATTTAAGAACTTTTTAAGTTCACAAATTTTCAAAATAAGAAATTCTTAAATTTAACCAATTAGGATCTTGCAAATTTAAGAACCACTAAAGTGAAATTTATTTATTAAATTTATTAAACAGAGAAATCGATGATCTTCAAATTTAGAAACTTACTAATATAAAAATTGATAGTTTTGAACTTCAGAAACTTGCAAATATAAAAATCGACAATTCTCAAATTTAAAAATTGCAAACATAAGAAAATTTAAAAGCTTTGAAATTAATAATTTGAAATTCTAAAAATAAATAGTAGAAAGTGTGTAGGTTATATATATTTTTGACATTACCACGAAAGTTTGATCAGCGTCAAATTGTGCATACGTCAATTCTGTCATGACACGTTACATCTGTAAAATATTGATTAATCTTCAACATTATTCAAGGATCTTGGTTTCTGAATATTTTCAACCAACATTTTACGATCCCTGAACACCGCCAAAGTATCTTGCACGAAGTTGGTTAATCAGATTCGTTTTCATGAATCATTTTAGGCAGCATAAAATATTTACAATCATAATAATTGTATATTCACTTATGAATGTAAGATATACAATTTCAGTTTATTTATATAATTTTAATTTATTTACACAGTGATCTCCTGAACTAAACATAACAAACTTTTATAAATAATTGGATCCTCAGTTTGAATTAAACGAAATATAATTGAACAAGTATCTGTGGATTTTGGTAAAAATTTATTAACATAATGCGCAATTTTAATTTTTTCACGCAAATGTTTCCTAAATTATTTGCAAAAAATATTTCAAATAAAACTTGAAAGGTAATCTAATAAAGTATAGAAAGACACTAAATTATTAACAGTTACACTTACATCTTCATTTCTATATTTTTTATCTAAAAAATACTAATGCAAAAGCAAAAAGGATGTCCTTGATTTATAATATATACATTTTTAAATGCAATAATAATGTACGTAAAAGCACACTATAACAATGGTAATAATACAAAAAAAATATATTATGATAATAGTATCAATGAAAATGCACTATTAATATAACAATAATATTTAATACAATATTAGTATAAATAAAAATATAAAATAAATATAACAATAATATAAAGAAAGATCTGTTATAAACATAATAATATAAATATAATAATACATCTCTGATTCTCAGTAACTATTTTAATTTATTTAAATCATTCCAAAATTAAAAATTTGTACAAAATGAAAAGAATAAAAATTGTGTTCATAAAATCCCTTTCAACATTGAAAAGATATGACTTTAATATTTTATGTGTCGTTTCATTCAGCTCATTAAATGTTTAACAGAATAAATAAACTCTACCAGAACTAGAATATTGTAAAGCTTATTTATTATGACTCTACCTTGTTTGAAACATGGCGTTACATAATTTATAAACGCGAAGCCTAACGAAGTTGACGGTCCATTTAAATCAAGGAGAATTGAATTTATGTCGACAAAGGATCCAGGTTGGAACAAACTACCACTTAGCATTTCATTCGAAAACCAACATCTTTAATTAATGTTATTTACTGTTAATTGTCTGCTGCATATAATATGATAACAATAATACTATTTATGTAATACGATTTTTAATTAAGTAGCAATCTTTTTGCAATGATTGAAACTGTGATGAAATATTCAAAATTTCTTATTATGATATTTATATTGGGAAAAAATTCTGGCTTACTGTTTTAATAATTGTTTATTAATTTTAATTAGCAAGATAATTTCAATATATTCATATTTCACATTTCTTTTACTCATTTTGATTGTAACAAAATTTGAGAAGTTCTTAAATTTTAAAGAAAACATGAAAATATTGAAAATTATAAATTTTGAAAATTTCATGATTCAAATTTTTAAATTATGAAAATTCCATGTTCTCAAATTTTAAAGTATGACAATTTCATGATCTCAAATTTTGAAAGTTTGAAAATTATAAATTTCTAAATCTAGGAATTTAAAAAGTTTCAAGCATACAAATTTGTAGTCACGAATTCTCATATTTACAAGTTTTCAAATTTACAAACACAAATTCTCACATTTACAAATTTTCAGAGTTATAAACTTTTTAATTCAGAATTTGTTAATTTGTTAAGTGTAAATGTAGAAATTTTCCCATTCACAGGTACTCAAATTTAAAATTTTCAACATCATAATTTATCATATTTAGAAATTTTCAAAATCAGTGATATTGAGACACTACGTTTACAAATTTACAAAATCAGAAATACTGAAATATTCTAAATTTGCAAATTAACAAATTATCAATACCATAGGGTCGAAAATTAAAAAATTCTCATCCACACAAATTTTCAAATTTACAAATTTTCAAACTCATCCTCAACTTTCAAAATTATCAAATTTTCAAATATCCAAATGTACCGTCATAGATACTAAATTTTTCTCTAAAAATTTTCCCACTCAGAAATTCTTGAACTTCCGAAAAAAAGCTTTAAAAATTTCTTAAACTCTAAGAATCAAATTTTCAAATTGTCAACCCTTAAAATGCTGCAGCTGTCAACAACTACAGCATCTAACAGCATCAGAAATAATATTTTTGGGCCGAGGAGTACCCTCACATGCAGCCATTATTTATTTTAGAATACAAACTAGTATTAGCAAGAGCTTTAAAACTGTTTATTAAATTGTACAAGAAGTTGACACGTCTGTCCCTTTGAAATTTTTGCTTCAACATCTTCAAGAACGATTGTACAGCAACTTCACAAGAAAATTCAGCATTCTGCAATGAGCACGAACATCAAACGAATTTCTAAAAGAGAAAGTTTCCGATATAAACTAATTTTGGTTGAACGAGCTGAACTTCGTTATCTGGGAATAGGGGTCGGATAGCAAAATTGAGGTTCCTGCAAATATGCTAATGTGCTTTGGCTTAAGTGCGGCGTCGTGTAGGCGAGGGTCCTTTCAAAAGGGAAAAGCGATAAGGGGGAAAAAGAAAATGGAAGAGACTACGTTGTGAAAAAGAGCCACGCGAACGGGGAGAAAAACTCGTCAGAACTCGAAGTGACCTCACTTCAAATGACAGATGTAATTACGGACGAATGAATGTTGAAAAGCGTGCAAAAGAGAGGAGAGAATGATTTTCCGGAGAGAATAAATATTGTAATCGTTGTTATTTAAATAAGTTTGAATTTTGTGACTTTTACAATAATAATTTGCAGTTGGATTGAAGTTTAAGAGGATTTTGTAGTTGCACAAATAAACTCGGTGATATCGAATGGCTCTTTTGAAAATATTGTATAAACTTTATGGGATTTTGTGGACATTTTTCGATAAATATAGTTAGTATGAGATTTTGAATCAAGTTGGGTCAAACTGCAACTGTTATGAATATTATAGAATAATTATTGTATTATTATTTGTGATAGAGTAATAAGTTATGTTATACATATATTTTGTTTGTTATATGTATGTTTTATATGTTGTATATGTTACATGTTGTATTTGCTGTATGTTATATCTGTGATATGTAGCATATGTTATATATTGCATATGTTATGCTACACATGTTATATGCTGTATATGTTATATTTGTTACATGCTGTATATATTACATAATGTATTTGCTGTATTATATCTTATAACATATATTATATCTATGAGATGTAGCACACGTTATATGTTGCAAATGTTATAAATTGCATATGTTACATGTCGTATGTGATATATGTTATATTTGTTATATGTTAAATTTCCTATACATTGTACATGTTACATCTTGCATCTGCTACGTGTTGTATAGTGTTTCGTTTTATAAAATACAACTGGTCAAGTTATTGTTACAAATTATATAAATATTTTATGCAATAAATTCTAAAGAAATTTTGTTACATAATGATATCTTGTTACACCTTCAGTTTATTTATTATTCGTTCAAATTTTATTGGATATTTATTTAAATTTAATTGTATTATTTAATAGTGTTAATACAGCTTTACTAACATACATAAAATTATGTTTATACTAACTTAAAATAAGAAAAATTGTTTAATTTTTATTACGAAAGATATTTTTAATAAAGTTCAGGAAAATGTTAATAGACATTTTTTAAGCTTTCATGAAAATGAATGACAATTAAACGATATCCAAAATGAAAATTGTAGAAAAATATATATGTGCGTCCATGAAATTACGTTTTCTCTTTTAATTCTTGGTATCTTTTATTGAAATCAGATTTACAATATCGAAAATACCTTCGATAATAGGAGCTGTACAAAGTTCTTCGAATTGAGAACAAAAGAATAAAGAACCTTGTGAACAAAGAAAGAGTTCTGTGAACACAGGAAGAAATTATTGTTTTACAAGAAGAAGAAATTAAGGGAAGAAGTGAATTGTATAAAGAGGAAGAAGTAATCAATTTGTGGAACAAAATTAGGAAAATAGGAAAACAGGTCAGAAGCAAGGGAGAAAGTACATAAGAGAGTTACATTGCCAAAAGGAGATGAGGAAAAAGAAAATGGAGGACCGACAGAAGTAAAATGGGACCGTATCCAAAAACGAAGATTAATGAGCCAAGCAAAGAAACCGGTAAGAAAAAAGTATCGCAAAAGAAACGAATTTATGAAACAGGTTGAAAGAAAAAAGATACGAATTTATAAAATAGAAGGAAGGAATAGAAAAATAAAACAAATTTATAAATCAGGATGAATAGAATCAATTTCAGAAAAGTAGAAACATATTTTAAAATGTGTTAAAATATTTAAAAATGAAATGAAATAATAAAAACAATTTTTAGAAGAATGGAACAAATTTATAAAATAAAATGAAGTAATTTAAAAACAATGAAACAGATAAGTTTCAAAATTGTGTTCCAAATTTTATAAAATAAAACGAAGCAATAGAACTTTAAAAAAGATGAAACAAATTTAAAAAACAGGTGAGAATTTTTATAAATGGTGAAACTTTTAAAATGAAAAAATTGGAAAATACACAAACCTGATGTAAAGCAAAACAGAAAAATAGCAAACAAAGGCAGATACAAAAATAAAACGGAACAAAGTAATTAAATTAAAAAAATCAAGTCAATAAAACCGCGAAATTGAATAAACCGTTTTTAACCGCAAAAAGAGACAAATAAATGAATTTAATATGTACAGTTGTTCATTTTTATTAAAGTTATAAACAATTTCTTTTAGAACATGTTTTAATACGTTACTATTTTAATACATCAATATACAGGTGACGCCATCTTAACTTCAGACCCATCATTTTATAAGGGATTTTATAATCTACAACTTTTATTTAAAAAATTCTTTTATTTTTATTTTGAGATATATTTTATTTGCTGAAGAAGAACAAATTATCAAACATTCTTCAAAAACTTTTACCAAAAGTAACTTCAATTGAAATTAAAGTTGCAAACTCTAACTGTTAATTTTCGATATCTTCAATCTCTAATAAAATTTTCAAAATAAATCAAAAACCACAGAATTTCATAAATATCTTATAAATAAGTTTCGTAAACAGGATTTTGTAAGCAGCTTAAAAATAATAGAATTTTCTTTTTAAATATTAAAAACATTTTATAAAATAAAATATGTTTGCATTTATCATGCAATATGGCATCCATAGAATTTTCATGAGACTTTTTCCGATTAATTTGATCCACAAAGTGAAAAGAAGGAAGCGAAAAAAGCAATCAGAGTAGAACAAGAATAAAAGAACACCGATAACCATAAAAACAATACTAAAGATTGCAAGTGGTAGAGAACTCGAAGAAAGTAACTGTAACGGAGAGTAAACAAGAAGAAAACGTGGAACACGACGAAAACGAAGTAGAAGTACCTCATCCCTCTGATCAAGGAGAGTAAGGAGCATTTGAAGGGAAGTAAAGCAAGGAACAGGGTCCTGGAACGTGACAGGGACAGAAATCGGTCTTCCTAAAATCCAGGGTGAGACGGTTATAGCCCATTCACGCAGTGGCTCCACAGAGATCAATACTCGTGACACCGGGACGCGGCGTAACAACCCTACGCAAACGTTTAAAACCAGTTCCAAAAATATATTACACATTACAGGTTTTATACAGGACGTTTTCAAAGTGGTACAAGCGAAAAATGAATCGACATAGAAAAATAAAATAAAATCAACATGGAAATAAAATTTATTCGTATATGACTTTATCTTTAAGAAATTTGAATTTGAACACTTGTAGGTTTTTGTGAAAATGTTTTTTCATAGTAGAAAATGATAAAATCAAATTGTTTCGTAATTCTACAGTAATCAAATATTATGAATCAACAGATATGATTGTTAACATCCCTGAAACATCGCTGGGTTTATTACTTAATACTACTTTATTAGGTTTGTTATTTATTAGGGATGTCGAAAAGTATTCCAAATTTCTTCGATGACTTCAAAATTTTTCAATGAAAAATCGAAGGACTTTTTTTTAAGAAGGGAATGGAACAATTGCCTTTAAAATTCAAAATTTCCATACCCCTAAGTTTCTGAATTTCTAAATTTCCAAATTATTAACCTCAAAATCCCCCAATACCTCAATTTTATATCTCGAAATTTTCAAATTTCCAAATTGTCTTTCTGAGTAATCAAATCATCAAAACCCAAATTTGTTATTTTCTAATTTTCTGAGTTGCCAAATCTCTAAATTCCTATATTTCTAAATTTCTAAATTTCCAATTTCCAAAATTTTTAAGTTAGCAAATCTCCAAGTCGCTGAATCTCAAAATCCCTCAATTTCGAAATTGTTATGTCTCTAAATTTTTAAATTCTAAATTGCCAAATTTGTGAGTAACCAAATTTCCAAATCCCCTAATTCTTTAAGTTCCCAAATTTATAAGTTACCAAATTTCTAAATTCCCATATATCTAAATTTCTAAATTCCCAATTTTCCGAACTTCTGAGTAACTAAATTTCCAAATACTCAAATTTTCCAATTCTCCAAATTTATGATTGACCAAATTTCTAAATTCCTGTATATCTAAATTTCTAAATTCCCAATTTTTCAAATTTCTGAGTAACTAAATTTCCAAATACTCAAATTTTCCAATTCCCCAAATTTATGATTTACCAAATTTCTAAATTCCCATATATCTAAATTTCTAAATTCCCAATTTTTCAAATTTCTGAGTAACTAAATTTCCAAATACTCAAATTTTCCAATTCCCCAAATTTATGATTGACCAAATTTCTAAATTCCTGTATATCTAAATTTCTAAATTCCCAATTTTTCAAATTTCTGAGTAACTAAATTTCCAAATACTCAAATTTTCCAATTCCCCAAATTTATGATTTACCAAATTTCTAAATTCCCATATATCTAAATTTCCAAATTTCCAATTTCCCAAATTCTTAAGTTAGCAAATCTCCAAGTCACCAAGTCTGAAAGTCCCTAAATTTCAAAATTTGTATATCTCTAAATTCCCAATTTCCCAAATTCCTAAATTACCAAATCTCAAACTGCCTAAATTTTTCAATATCCACACCCTTAAATTTCTAAACTCTCATAAATTTCAAATTACCTATTCTCAAATTTTCCTAAAATTCCAAATTAAAAATACTATATCGACCACCTAAGATGTTCATTAAAAAGTACAGTGAAATAACCAACATATTTATATCATATAACACACGTATCGCACCTACATTTATGTAAAATATATTTGTGATGATATGAAGTAGAAACCTCACTTTCAGAGTAAATTAACGCGGATCCCTCGATACATTTTAGTCATTTAGCTGCCAATACCATGTCGATTGACGTGAATGACAGATATACACACTCTGACAGGCAATCAGCGAGATATTTACATCGCTACAAAATTATTTCACGTTGAATCTTGTATTTAACAGAACTTATTTCAAAATCATCCAACAGTCTTCTCTTCGTTCATGATATTAAAAGTTTAATAATGTTCTTGTTTTAACTGGAAGCTTTTTCATTTATTTCGTATGTACAGTTCTGTCGTGAAATGCTTTTAGAAATTAAAGTTATAATAAAAGTACGCAGTATTCATTTTTTATAAATTTTATAATTAATTCCAGCATGAAAGGTAATTAACAGATTTAAAATGTTAGAAATATTTTAATAAGAATTAATATTTACTTCTTTAAATAATAATTTCAGTATATTCAAATTGTATTATTATTAATTTCAATTTTTTATAATATTTGAAAATTTAGATGAATATTGACAAAAATATATAGCTTTTTATGTTTAAATGCATTGATAAATGTTGATATCAATTTTTGTTAGTAAGTAACTAAGTGTCTTTATAAATATTAATAACAATATTCATTTTCAATATTTAAATACTTTAATAAAAATTAATGTTAATATTTTATTTATACGTAGATATTTTAATAAATATTGTTATTAATATATTTTCTAAATATCTTGATAAATATTGATATCAATATCCTTTATGTTATTTAAATATTTTGATAAATATTAATATCAATATTTTTTCAATGTTTAAATATGTTCATAAACATTAACGTCAATATATTTTATTAATATACATAGTTTGATAAATATTAACATCAATATTTTGTTTAATATATAAATAGTTATATTGATAAATATTTATATCAACATTTTGTTCAATATTTAAATATGTTCATAAATATTGACATTAATATTTTTTTAATATACATAGACAGTTTGATAAATATTAACATCAATATTTTGTTTAACGTACAAAATTATATTGACAAATATTAATATCAATATTTACTTCAATATTTAAATCTGTTCATAAATATTGACATCAATATTTGTTCTAACAATACGTTGACATCAATATACTGTTTAAATATTTAAATATATCGACAAATGTTAACGTCAACATTTTGTAAATATTGAAAAATTGAATAAACCTTGAAAAGGTTTTCCATTATTTTTTCCTAAAAACAGATTTCGAAATGAAGCAATTATTTTCCTACCACGAGGAGTTAAGCGGATCAGCAGCCAGGCTTGAGATGAGAAGGTGCATCTAATGATCGAACAGCACTACCTTTATTTTTTCTCTGTTCTCCCACTTTCTTCTTTTTGCTGTTCGATTTTCAATACTTTTCTCAGAATAATTTCTATTCTTGAATGCGAAATAAAAATAATATCTCGAATCCTCTATAATCCTTTTGTGATCTAAAATACGTAAGCAGGGGAAAATCAATTGTTTATTAATAAACGAATATTTAATATCCATATTAATTTTAATATAATTATATAAATTCACAGTAAAATAATTGGTTATATAATAAACTGAAAGTAGAAAGTAGAAAACGGTTGTTTATATAATAAAAAATTATACTGAATTGTTTTGAACTTACACTGACAAATTATTCAAATTTTTACTAAATTTTTACGGTTTGCTATATCTATATTGTATTTCAGTATTTTATTTTCTACCTATATTGTATTATTGCAATTGTAATGTGGTACTCTAAGTAAACGAAACTAAATAATAAAAGTTAAATTACTAAAATTAGTAAGCTACAATAAATAGAAGCTTGAAAAGAATAAAAATTAAAATTGAAAAATTAAATTTTGAAGAATGAAAATTGCAATTACTTTGTATTCAACATTTTAGAAAATTGTTCACAAAATTGCGATATGTATATGTACCCACGTTACATGATATTAATACAAATTTAAACTAATACTCTATAAACATTCGCAAATAACATACTGAAGTACGTCACATGAATTAATGTCTACAATTTCGTATAAATTTTGGAGAATAAGCTTTGACAGAAACACGGTAAAATGAAAGTACCAATTTCTCTTCAGTAACAGCAAACGCTGTAGCAATTAGATTTCGAAAATTGTGTTAGAAATACACAAAGCGAGACAATTATTAATGGACGTTTATATACGACCGTAATGAGACTCAGGGGTCTTTTGATCTCTCTACCCTCGTGAAACTTCCATTTTGTGCTACAGTCCTGCCACTAATGACGCTTCGTGAAAGTGTTTCTGATAAATATTTGCTACAATATGCACTTTTTAATGTATACGAGTTTATGAAGTATATAAGTTTTAAAATACATAAGTATAATATTTGTTATAGATATATATTAATCATAAGACTTTGTCGTATGATAAACTCTCGTTATATTGTCATGGACGAGGTGATACCGTGCCAGGAGGTTGTAAGAGTGGAATATAAGTGTATATGTATAATTCATAATCTATGAGTATGTAAGTTTAATATATAAGTACATATGTATGTAATGATATAAGTGTAACTTATAATACGTATTACAGATGCAATAAGAATTTATGATACAGTAAACTCTCGTTATATTGCCCAAGACAAAGTTTTAAGAGTGGAAAGTTTTCTGAATTTGCAACATATTTACATAACCTCTTAAATGTTCCATAATGATGAAACAACATTAATAGTATATGTAAGTACACGAAAATTTTTATGAAAGCGGCAATATAACGAGAATCTACTGTAACACAGAGTAAAATCTTATAGTCTATTATACATAAGAATCTTACGTTATAATGTACTATGATGATAATATACTTAAGGTATTATATAAGTAGCTTAAATATGCTAAGTGTTATAAGTACCAGCTCTGGCTGACAGTACAAATCTAATTTAGTTGAATCTTATCTGAGAAATTGGTGAACAAGCAAACGATACTTGAAATGTCGAATGGAAAATTAGATTAAAATACTGGTGTTTAATATTGTGATAACTAAAGCATTAATGTTCTTATTATTTTTTAAAGCTGATAAAAAAATTGTAGCTAGTAACAATTTTTTACCACTATTGTTGTATACATCTGCTACTGAATTTTGTAAATTTTAATATTCTATATTACTGTTAATCAGTAAAATATTAATAAAGTGCAGTGAAATATTTACTGTTATATAGTAAAATAGGGAAGGTATAAATTTCACTATTTTATTATGTTATTATTTTACTATTTCAATATTTTGTTATTTTGCTATTTTTCTATTATGCTATATTGCTATTTCGTTGTTTTTCTATTTTTCTACTTTACTATTCTACTATTCTACTATTTTACTATTCTACTATTCTACTGTTTTACTCTTCTGCTATTTTACTATTTCACTATTTTACTATTTTACTATTTCATTATTTTACTATTTTACTATTTTACTATTTTACTATGTTACTATTCTACTATTTTACTATTTTACTATTTTACTATTTTACTATTTCACCATTTTACTATTCTACTATTCTGCTATTTTACTATTTCACTAATTTACTATTTTATTATTTTATTATTTTACTATTTTACTATTTTATTATTTTATTATTTTACTATTTTACTATTTTACTATTTTGCTATGTTACTATTCTAGTATTTTACTGTTTTACTATTTCACCATTTTACTATTTTACTACTTTACTATCTCACCATTTTACTCTTTTACTACTTTACTACTTTACTGCTTTACTATTCTACCATGTTACTATTTTACTATTCTATTTATGCAAATGGACTCTTTGCATAATATATTTATATAATACATCAATAATTACTCAAATTTGTTCTTAAATTTAGTTCAGTCTTTCACATTACACTAAAAATACAAAAAAAAAATGAAAATAATGTATGGTCCTAAACTTTTACCTAGGAACTTTACTACTAAAAAAAATAAATAAATGTTCTAAATATTAAAATATTAAATTGACATTTTAATTAAACTTTATGCTTCGAATTAATATACCATAAATGCAATTCTAAGCAATGGTAGATCATATTATTTAATCATTCAAAGTACTTTATATCTCGAAATTCTCCATTTGAACGCAATAACCATAGATCTCAGACTTCAATATCGAATCGTCTTTTCAACCCTCTGTTGCATGATACCATAACTTCATACATACTATGTATATATTTTCGAATAATCACTAAAATCCTGAATGATTCATTACTTTAATTTTTCGAGATTTCAAAAGTTCTCAAATAAAGAAATTTTTTCTATTCTAGACTATAAGAAGTTCTTCGTCAAAAATTATTTATATTCTGAATCATTCACTACTTTAATTATTCAAGATTTCGAAAATTCTCAAATAAAGAGATTTCCCATATTCAAGACTTGTTCTTATTCAAAAAATTCATTTTATCCTGAATTATACATTATTCTAATTATACAAGATTTCAGAGGTTCTCAAATAAAGAGATTTTTCTTGTTCAACATTCCAGAAGGTTTTATTCAAAAATTGGTTCTATTCTGAATTATTCATTATTTTAATTACCCAAGATCAAAAGTTCTCAAATAAAGAAATTTGTTATATTCATAGCTGAAAAATTTCTTATTCAAAACTTCACTTTATCCCGCATTATATATTATTCTAATTACGCAAGATTTTAGAGGTTCTCAAATAAAGAGATTTTTCAAAACTTAAAAAGTTCAAAAAATGATTCTAATTGCTGATTTATAAACATGTTCCTACTATTCAACAGTTGAATCTTGAAGTACGATTTGAAATAATAACTATTCATTATTTGATAGAATACTGACGTAACAAACAGCTTTAAATATTGAATTCTTTGGAGGTACCAAACGATTAGCTTTTCTATGTTCGATTTCCATTGCGTCACTAAGTACTCGAAGCGGCCAGGAATTATCGTCAAGCCCGATACTCATCCTTAATCGTCGAAACGACGTCACGAGGCTCGGCCATCGGTTGACCTCTGCTCGTAACTCGCTTTTACGAATGTGGGTTGCGGGGGCGATTGCAGGAGGTGGAGAAAAGCGACGTGGAAAATACGGATCAATACTTTGATTCTGGACGAACACAGCGCCATTTCCGGTCGTCGAAGACGCAACCGAACCCGAAGAGCGCAACTCTCGCGATATCTCCAGGAGCTCTTCGTTCTTTCTTGACAATCGTGCAGGTAAGTTCTTTCTTTCAAACTCGAGTACACACCTGAAAACTATTGATTTCGATAGGATACCTTCATTGTAACTGATTTATTATTATGGGAGACTTCTTTGTTTTGATTATCTTGTGGACAGATTGGTGTTTCATCAAAAATCGTTGATTGAGTAATAATTGTGTATTGTTTTATTGTTAATACTGTGCATTGTGATTACTGCATATTTGCAACTTATTTTTGTTATTGTTCTTATACAATATGTTTATATGCAGTCATCTAGTAATGGGAATAACAAGACTGAATTATTTTCGCTGCAGTATTGTTTATTTCGTTGTAATAGTTTTGTAACTAATTTTTGGGGAAGATTTTGGCTCGTGAAATCTAGTCTCGTAAATTTTGTAAATAACGAAGCTGAGGAGTAATTGTTTACATTTAGAGAAGTGATATTTGATGAAACACATGATAATTTGTATTTGGTACTATTTACTAATATGTGTTTGCTAACATTATCTACTAATATGTATTTCCTTGTATTATTTACCGATATTATCTGCTGATGTGATGTTCTAATAATTTTGTCAACTTTATCGCGTTAATTGACAGTTTTTCACCAGTTAGATTAATAACTTCTTCTTCATTGCTGATTGCCTCGTTTCTTTGAATAAAATGATAAAATAATATGAAATGTGTTAATATAATTTTGATGTGTAATAACATATAGATGTAGACTGATCGCTATATTTATTGCTGTACAATATATGTATTTAAATACACTTATTTAACAATAAAAATAATTTGTCTAAACTAAACTATTTCATTCAAAACATTATTTATTTTATTAATAGCAATTTGAAAAATAATTTTTTCCTTTCAGAAATTGGACATTTACAGTAGTAGAACATCTTTCTAATTATACATATTTAATTTTCTAAATTTTAACACATTAACTACCAGTTGGTCAAATTACCTTACTAAATTAGTAATTTGATCATTAATGACCACATTCTTTTGTTATAAAGTTACATAATATGAATTGATATAATTTCATACAATGCACAGTTATTATATTACGTGATAAATGTTGACTTTGGTTTGTTTGAAACGATATAAAAGAAAAATGGAGGTCACATGTGACACTTGTAGCAAACATGTTGAGAAACGTTCATCTAAAATTTAGTTAACTATTTATTGGGTTGTATAACTTATTTTAACTTGCAGTTAATTAATATACACTTATTAATTTGTAGATATCCGCATTTGAAACCATGTACTGGATTCCGTTTCTTTTTGTGGCTGCTGCTGTTCAGGCGTCAGTGTATTTGCCTCCGCCAATGAAGGTAACATTTTTCTCACTAATTTCGAACATTACGATCTTTTAATAGAATACAATTAAATTGGTAATTTAAAGAACAATATATGAAGTATTTGTTGTATTCTGCATTCTTGAAGAATTACTGCAAAAAATAGGTGGACACATTTAAAACTGATTTCGCATTAGTTATACACATACATGAAGGATGATTTCGCTGATTTCAATAACTGTTAATTATTATAAAATGCATTAAAATCTAACAAATAAATTATTGTACATGTAGAGCAGTTAGTTCCCACGTCTTCATTTAATTTAGAAAAAAATCAGATCAATATGTGCAATACTTTCTGAGAAAATAGCTTGTAACAGGTTATGTGATCCTCAGAGTGAAACGTCGAAGGGCTGAAAGACAAAGTCAATGAAAAGAATAGTCTCGTACAAGTCTAACTGCCAAATATGCAATCTAACATTAATCAAACTTGCACGAGACCCTCGGAAAACTGAAGATTGCAGAATAGGAAGTACCTAGAAATATTTAAAACAAAGAGAAAGTTAAGAAAGTTTAGAAAAAAAGATACATTGGCAAGAATGCGATGACAGACGTAGCCACAATATAAATACCACATGATAAAATAACTATCTATTAGGTCGAGTCATAAGTAACTTCCGTTTTTTTATCAGACATTTATTTCGTTCTCATTAAACAACAAAATTATATTATTTTATTATATATTCACCACTATTTTCTATAACCTTCTCCCATTTTCCTGGTAGTTTATCAATTCCTTCCTTGTAAAATGTGGTTGGTTTGGACTGGAAGAAGCTTTCAACAGCCTGCCTGACTTGCTCTTCAGAATTGAAGGTTTTTCCTTATCAACTCCCATTTTCCTGGTAGTTTATCAATTCCTTCCTTGTAAAATGTGGTTGGTTTGGACTGGAAGAAGCTTTCAACAGCCTGCCTGACTTGTTCTTCAGATTTGAAGGTTTTTCCATTTAAAAAGTTTTGTGAGGAACAGAAAAGGTGGTAGTCTATCGAGGTAAGATTTGAGGAGTAAGGTGGATGTGGTAAAACAGACCATCCAAGCTCAAGAATTTTTTCTTGAGTCACCCTTGCTGTATGCGGTCGCGCGTTGTCGTGTAAAAGAATGACATTTCTGCGATTGACGAGTGCAGGGCGCTTTTCTAGGAGTTTCTCTTGCACTCTTTGCAATTGCTGAATGTATTTATCCGCAGTAATCGTTAAATTTGACTTCAACAACTCGTGGTGACCTTCATAATCTCACCATACACACAATAAAATCTATTTAGCTGCATCGGAAGTTACTTATGACTCGACCTAATAACTTATAACTCACATTATAAGTAAACCTTATAACCATTATTCTCTGATTGAAGGAGGATCAACTATTGCCTGATACTTTCCTCCGAGAATTAATCAACCAAATGGGAAATGACCTCGTGGATGCAGCAGACTCGTATTTGGAATACCAGGACAAACCAAAGGAAATTCCTATCGAATTGCCTGCTGACTACGACAGCATCGACACATTAAATCCTAATCCTAGCATTCGCGATCAGGAATACTTGCGGCATAGTACGTTATGGAGCCATCAACGTCTGAACGAGAACGACAAAGCGAACGGCAGACAGAAGATCAAACCTGGAAGCATCAAATACATTGCGGACGAGAAAGCGGAGAACGCTTTGCCTGCATATTGCACGCCACCTAACCCTTGTCCCGTTGGATATACAAGTAAGTACATATACAATATGCTTTGTTAAATGTATATTACGCCTGTAAATCTATTCACAATACTGAAAGAACATTTTTTAAATTTTAATATATTATATTATTGTTTTATTTATTACATGAGTTGAAATGTACAAATTTTTTAAATAACTTGTTTTTATATATGCACAATTAAAATTGAGTACAAGGTTTTCCTAGGGAAAATGGGGTTCAGTAAGCATGAGCATTTTCAAAATAAATAATTAATGAAAGTAGTTTTAAAAGCAAGTGCACTTTACGTCTCGGGAAGACAGCTCTGGAACTGTATGAGCATATTAATTACTCTATTTGAGTATTAAAAATTGAACACTTATGATTAAAGAATAGTCAGCAATGCATTATTTACATGGTAAAATAAAAGTTCATAAATAATGTTCGGATAATGAGTAATTAATTATTTTGTGGCAGTCTTGCGATACGTACATGAGCCGCCTATGTCAATTCTACTGCGCATGCAAAGTGCAATATTTCGGCACTTTGACGACGTAATATGGTTCCTGAGGCATTTTGAAACAAATTTCTATTAGGGTTTGATGCGTTTTGATGCCTAATAAAGCCAGAAAATCAATTTTTGTCGAATTCGGTCCAAAACTGTACAGGTGGCGCCATCTAGCGGCGAGCGGCGGAA